TGTGTGTGTGTATGTGTGTATGTGTGTGTGTGTGTGTATGTGTGTATATGTGTATGTGTATTTGTGTATGTGTGTGTATGTGTGTGTGTGTGCTGGGGGGTCTACATGTGTGACACAGTGCACATGTGGATGTAAGAGGACAAGTTGCAGAACACAGTTATCTCCTACTAATGTGTCCTGGGGAGCAAAATTATGTTGTCAAATTTGAAAGCAAGTGTCTTTAGACACTGAGCCATCCTATTGGCCCTCGATCAGTATATATTAGTAAATAAATTTTATCTGCTTGATCTTAACATTTTTTACTGTAAATTTTCAAGAAAATAAATAGTTTTATCTACAGTGTTCTTTGAAGTGTCATCAGATTTCTCTGTGTACATGAACATCATCAATCACAAATAAGCAGTTGCGATGACAATTGGTAAAAATAGTATAAAGTCATGCATTCTCCTAGAATTCCTAAGTTGGCAATAATAGAGAATGGTCCCACATTGGAATCTATAATATACATTTAAATAAAAAAGCATTATGAGTGATTTTGTTAAAATTTAAATGATGAAAGAAAGCAATGTATTTCTTGTACCAGGATGTTCTGAATGTCAAATAAACCAGGGTTGCATATGGAAAGTGTACTATGTGCTCTGAACATTGGAGAAAATAAACATATGAGCAAAGGCCTGGACAAGCTCATCACAAAGACTTCAGGAGGTTCTTGCTGGCAGAGTCCTTGATACTTGGTGTGTGGATATCGTGTAAGGGTTATAACCCTCTGAACAAAGGAGGACAACGAGTGGACAAATCGATGGAGAAAATGCAAAGCTCTTAGAATAGAATGAAAATCAGTAACTATAGTAGAACCTTTTGAGTGGAACATTTAATTGCAGACTCTAAAATAGCACAACTATTTGATGAACCAACAAATGCTTAACATGCTCTCAAAAGAGTCTCCACAGTCTGTATCCTCATGTGGAAACTGGTGGCTACATAATATACTGCACAAAATGATAAAGATTAACACCATCAGGAACTCGAGACCAACAGCTGTGGAGCCTTCATGGGACCAAACTAGGCCCTCTGAGTGGGGGAGACAGTTGTGCAGCTGGATCTACCTGGGGGGCCTCTGACTGCAGGACTAGTATCTCCCTGGTGCATGAGTTAGCTTTTTGGAGCCCATTCCCTGGGGTTGGATGCCATGCTCAGCCTTAATGCAGGGGGAGTGGGTTTGATCCTGCCTCAGTTTAATGGGCCAGGCTTGTCGACCCCCAAGGGAGCCCTTACAATATGGGAGGAATGGATAGGAGGTGGGTTGAGGGGGCGGAGGCAAGAGGGTGTGGCAGGAGGTGTGGGAGGGAGAAGTGAGGTTGAAATGCAAAACAAAATTAAAAATAAACTTATAAAGAAGACAAAAAAGGAAAATATATGGAGTTTTAATGAAACTACTGCATTATTAAATAGTTCAAAAAAAAAAAAAGGATTAACATCATCAGTACCGAGGGAACCTAACCTGACTTGCTTTGTGATACTACCAACTGATAAGACTACAGTAATGCATAATAACGTGAAAAAAAATATGACCCAGACAGACTCATGTAAAGCCAACAGACAAACACACTGTTGAATAATCTAAGAGAATTGGCAGCACAGTCTTTGAATAAGTATCAAGCACATACGGCCTGGAAATGGCAGAGGACTGAATAGACTGCTTGCCTGTTATTTGTGTACTGATCCATGTCAATTCCAAAGAGTCCCCACTTGTTTTCTTCACTGCCCATTTCAACAGCTGCTTCTTTTGCAAGTGGTATAGAATTAGACCTCAAAATGCTGGCATGCCTAAGACTCTGAGATGATATCTTCTATAATATGCATGACTTTGCAGATGCCATTCTCAAAACTAGGGCTACAGCTTTCTCCCATTAGCCTCAGTTTTTATTTCAGCATCAGCTTTTGAATTTATGGACCAGTTGACCATTTAACCCTAGATTGGGCTGCTACTTCACAACCTGACCCTTCTGTATCTGACCTCATTTTTTGTACTGCTCTCCTAATTATTTGTAATTAGGAAATCATGCTAGCTTCTCTTAATATACAGTTTGTATTGATTTACATGCGTTGTCCAGAGTCATGAGGACATTTTCATAGGAATGTATAACTGACTTTGAACATACTCCCCTCCACAAATATAACAAATGTTTTCTTTTAGTAAGATGGCAATATTCATACTTAGTTTTCTTTTCTATTAAAATAGAAATTGGAATGGACGATTCTAATTTCTAATGAATTAATATAAAATTTAACACTCAGTGACATCCTTTATGTCCATCTTATCCTAGGCGGCCTCTAGGAACTTTGTAAACTTAATACAATTCATTGAGTTTTATTAACTTTGTAGTAGCATCCATGAAGAGTAGAACTGGCCTAAAAGACTTTTACAGTCTTTCCTCCTTCCCCTTTTTTCGCATTGTTACCTTTAGTAAACAGAGGCTGTTTTGTTCATTTATTTAACTCTATCAGATCCTTGCTGAAGAGCTGATGAGGAAGTGAATGAAGTAACAACAAATGAGTGATTTTCTTATACTTTAGTTCTGTATGAAGGGGTGAAAAGAGAATGTCTACTCTGTGATAATGTCTTTAATATTTTATAAGGAAGCTGTACTTATGAAATATCAAAAACATGGTAGTCCTATGAGACCAGTATGATGAAAACAGCAATGGATATGCCAATAGGGGGAGGGGAAATCTCCCAAGGTCCCACACACAGATGAAAAGCTACAGACAATGACTGCTGAGAGAGGGAAATTCAATCTTCTTCAGTGACCAGCCCCTTGTGAAGTTATCCAAATGCCAGTGATCGGCCTAACACATATGCATACAGTCAACACTAAATAGACCCAGGAGCTTGTATGTATGTATATCTATACATATTCATAACACCTAAAATATAATAAAAATTAAAGAAAAAGGACTTCTGAGGGGGAGTTGGGAACAGGAGGAGTTGAACTGGGAGGGAGGGGTGGAGAGTACACAGGTATAACTTCTCCAAAACAGAGAAAGAGTACAGAAAAAGACATAGGTGACCTGCAGGCCATTGGAAGTGAAGATGCAGGGATTCAGGAAAATCTAAACGAAAATTGTGAACAAAGCAATATTTTGGTGGGAAATGAGGATCCCAGTGTGATATAAAATAAAGAAAAAGCAACACAAGCATGGGTGGAACTTAAGCCTAGGGTAGACAAAGGGAACAGGACGTTTCTTTCTGAGGAAGGAGTCATCAAGGAGGATTCAGACCCTGTTCATTTTCATGTATCTGTGCCTACTCATTGTAATGTGAACTGAAGGAAATTACCAGCACAACGGTTTCTCAGATACCCAAGGACTAAAACTAAGACAGACACACAAACAGGTTAACTTTAAGGAAAGACAGAATTTTATTGGAAGAGAAATATTTGGAGTCAAGACACAAGTATTTTTTGTCATTATGTGTGGACTCTCACCAGTTTTCTATTTGGAATTTTAAGCAAGCCGTCTCTGAACAACAGAGATGCCTGTGGACAGAAAGTTCATGATCTCAGCTTTTAGAAATCATGACACAATGACAATCTTGTCTGGGACACATGGCTAGGATGTTTGCTGAAGGCGTTCTTGTTTTATATTTTCGTGGTAATGAGTTTGGAGGACTCTGTGGTTTGCCTCACATGCCATTCAGGCCATATAAAAGGACCCACACCTGCCTAGCAGACTCACACTCCAGAACCTCCTTGTCTGCCTCGAGGAAAACTCCCATTCCTGACAACATGTGCTACGGAAACTACTTTGGTGGTCTGGGCTACGGCTATGGTGGCCTGGGTTATGGCTATGGTGGCCTGGGCTATGGCTATGGAGGCCTGGGTTATGGCTATGGCGGCCTAGGCTATGGCTATGGTGGCCTAGGCTGTGGCTATGGTTGTGGCTGTGGCTCTCGATATGCATACAGTACCTATCGTCCATGCTGCTATGGAAGAATTTCTGGCTTCTACTAATAATTTAAGCTAGCTGGCCCATTTGGGTCATTTTCTTATAAAATCCCAGAGCACCAGCATGTAGGGAAATTTGAAAATTTTACTTTTCAATAAAACTAAATTTCTTTCACATTATTGCTTGTTTGTGGGATGTTTTCATTCCTGTCTGTTATTTGTGTAAACTTGTGAGTGTGTGTGTGTGTGTGTGTGTGTGTGTGTGTGTGTGTGTGTGTGTAGAGAGAGAGAGAGAGAGAGAGAGAGAGAGAGAGTTATCCTTGTGTACTTTATTAAATGCTATGGCAAAATAGACACTTAGAGAGGGAGCCAATCCCTGGTCTTGAATCCACTCTAGGGCTGTGGTTGTTCTGACCCTCCTTCAAACAGGAGCCTGAGAGACTTACTTGCAGGAAGGTATGACTGAACTTGCAGGGTTTGGATGTTTTATTTCCCCTGTTCAAGTGTGGTCCTGAGCCTTCATAAAATTTCTATCTTGAATTAATTTGCATAACCTGTGCAGTTAGTGTAGGTGGAAGTAAGCATGTGACTACATACTCTAACATGGCTGAAAGCGAATGCATAACATCTGTGTCCTTTAAAAAACTAAAGTGTGCTTTAAAGAATTTCTTTTAACTGACATGTGTCTGTGTATGTATACCATCTGTGGAAGCTGAAAGAGTGCTCAATCCCCTGCAGCTGGGGCTACAAGTGCTCATGAGCCAGCCACTGTGGGGCTGGGAACTGAACTCGGGTCCTCTGGGAGAGCGAGTAGTAAGTGCCCTTAACAACTAAGCCATCTCTCCAGCTCCAAAAAGGAGTAATTTTCAATAACAAAGAAAGAACAGTGTATACAATTCTCATTCTTTTATAAAAATGTAATATTTAGTATTTATAAATATATCAATGTGGTGAACAGATAACCTTTAATCACAATGAGATGTAATTTTCAGAACAAGAGTGTAAAAGTGAAGTTAGTAATGCTTTTCTCTCTCACTGACAACACATTTCTTACTAATATCCACTTTTCTTTGAGCTCTGAACTCCCAACATAAAGACAGGCTTTTCTAAGCAGATGAGAGCAGAAGCAAGATTTATTCTTTGCACGTTAGAGGCATCCCCAGTAAGATCTCCTCATTGTATGGCTGAGGCCCTGGAAGTTAAGTGAGTTCCCATCCTAAAGAGAAGATGGTTTTCAGGCTCTGCTCATTACCTTCTTTCAGAACAGATGTTGCGTGCCCTTGTTGACATCCAATTTTAACTCTCCTCCCTCATTTTTATTCTGACGAGCATTTAAGAAATTCTCTGTAGAAAACAAAGAGGGTCTGCAGGTGTTTCACCTTCTCCTCATGGAAACTTCCTGTCTTCCCAAGAAGGAGGCGAAGGTCTTAAATCAGCCTTGTAATCAGTAGCAGAGAGTTTCACTGATGTTTAGAAAAATATTAAAAAATAAAAGGAAGCATTGTTTAATACAGGCACTAGGTGTTTGCTGTTACTTCTCTGCAACCCCTGACATTACTCTCAACTCTATCCCTCTCGAAATGCATGGCCTGTTTTTCTTTATTTTATACATACATAAATATAACAGGCTGGATTTGTTTAGTGATATTTTTATACAAAATGAATTCAGGTCTGATCACTTGGTAGGGTAACCTATTAGGGGGTCTTATCTCAGGAAAGACTGTTGTGTTCATAGCGCTCGTTTATTATCTACAGATCTTTGTCTAGAGGTATGACCCTGTGAGATCCCCCCTTCCATGTTAGCATTTTCATTGGTGTTCTTTTTGATCAGGTCTTCTCTAGGCAGCCATATTACGGTATCATGGGTGAAGTTTCCTGGTCGTTTGTAGGAGACACAATCTCACAACATATTCCTTGGTTCTTTGGCTTTTACAATGGTTTTTGCCTCTCTTCTGGGCCCTTGCCTCTTCCCTGAGCCTCTGGTATAGGAGTTGCACACATACCCATTGTGTCTGGGAAGTTGTTTTCTACATTTTGACCAGCTGTGGTTTTCTGTAACAGTCTCCATCTGTTGCAAAAAGAAGTTTCTATGGTGAGAACTAAGAGCTACACTTCTCAGTGAGTATAAGGATATTTTGAATACAGTTAGGAATTACATTGGTTTATTAAGTGGCTGTAGTGGATTCTCTTTTAAGATGCCTGACCTCACTAGTTGACTAGGTTTCCAGTACTCCTGTTAAGTGTGCTTAAGTCCAATTAGACAGTTGCTGAAAATGTCAAGATATCAGTGCTACTCTGGAGCTCTAAAGGCTTATATGCCATGCTAATAATTGTCACAGTTCATAGGTGTCACTTCTGGGTAGGACTATTGGTTGTTTTCCTTTCTTGGCAGCTTCTATATCACCTTCATGTACTAAGAAAGAAAGCTATTCTTCATGGAAGAGTCTTTCAAGTCAGATCAAGCATGGATTCTCTGAGTCCTGTGCCCTACGTTCATGGTGTCATTAACCAAAGGGACTGACCCTCAACTTCTAAGAGGTAACCAAGAACAAGAACAATAATCTATATTGTTTGAGGAATATCTTAGATTCCTCTCATCAACAACTCTAAAGGGAGTTTCTTATGCCTGGTATTTAGGACTTTGTTAGATCATCTGTGACTTTTGGGGGGCATTATTGTCCAGCCAAGTTGAGTTATATCACTTAAACTAAATGTGTATATGTACACACACAAACTTCCATGTGCTGTATGTCAATTTGGATGAATAAATAATGATATGATTCCTATGGCTTGCTCAAACATGTTGTCATTTTATCCCCTCCTTCCATCTTATTAGGTATTGACCTGCTATCTCCCAATATTAACTTGAAAAATCACAAGGTCAACTAATTCGGAAAAATGATAATGATGTACAATAAAGAATTTTTCTCCACAATCTGTTCCTCTGAATCCAGAAGTTGACTGCTTTTTCATAAACTATTGTAAAAAATAATTTTACCAAATATTTGGCACAATATAATCTGAATCTTTTTCCTATCCTCCACTGAGAGTTACCCTATCATTTCAACTTAAAACCAATATAATACTTAGGTATTAATATGTACCTTTTGCAATAATTTCAATGTGGACAGTATTGCTGAGGTAAAATTTCAAAAACAGCACAGATGACTCCAACAGACAAATGATAATTTATTAAGTATGTGACTGTGGGTGGTTCTTGTCTGTCTTCTTACTTACAGAGGCCACTCTTGAAGCTGGATAAGCCGGGAAACATCTGACACCTCACGTGCATCTCTCTGGAAGTCTTACACATCACAACTGCTCACACACTTCAACCAAATGTACTATCAGTGGATCTGAGAATATAAAGTATCTGCAAGGGAAAGAAGGAAATGGAAACACTTGGGAACAGTAAATAAGCTATTATGCTGTAGCTTCCTATACAGAGGTAGTTGCTGATCTGGTGATTGTTTCCTCTCGATACACTTGTGATACAGGAAGCACAGCAGCTTCACTGAAGTCCACTTAAGCAGCCTACCTTCTGTCATCTGAGCATCTGGTGAACTCCGTTCTGCTCTTGGCTTATCATCAACTCCATTTACTTATGCTACCTTCTCTGCCCCAGTCGTTAGTATTGCTAGTGTCTTCACGGATTGTTTAAGCACAGTTCCCTAAGGGAGTATTCCATGGAAAACTCCAGGCTAAAGACTAAGAAAGACAAATGGAGGTTTTCTCTGTGCTAATTGAGAAATGATGAAATGATTGAAACGATACTGACACAGAGTACTTGTCACATGAAAATTTCTCTTCAACGTCCCTGACCAATATAAACTTGTTTACTTCTTTTTTCTCACAGCACAGGAACAACTTTAAATATCATTTTTATTACACAAACAAGGAAATTCAGGGTCAAATTTAATGAACAATGACCTAGGGTAATCATATTGGTCCGTATGTCAGTTCTTGGCTGATGGGCAAAGCTAATTCTATGCTCACATCTTCTGATAGATGGTATAGACAACTTGGCCTCCACTGGACACTAACACACTTCTGTGTCTCATATTTATTTCCATCATCTAGCAACTAGTCATATTTTCTGATACCTGTCACTTGCCACCAACATGATCCCTAACTCAAAATCTTTGAGAGCTATGGTACCGGGTTTCATATCCTTACATTCATCATGTAGACAACCAATTTAAACACTAGAGCTTCAAAACTCCCCCATCACCTCATCAACTCTGCTCTCCTTTAACATGTCATTCTAATCCAGGCTTAACATGAAATAGTGCAATTCCCTGAAGCTAATGCCCAGATCCCTAAACCTCCAATCTTCTAGTTCTTCACACTCTTATTGCAGCAAAGTCATTTCTCCTACATAATCAGGATTTATTGTTCCTTCCCTGATTCCATCCTCTTTAAAAGTCTGCCATGTTCTTCACTCTTTTACATGCTCAAAGTTTATATCTAAGTGTTCTAATATTACTATTAACAGTGTCACCTTTGGTAAGTAATCTGCATTCTTTCTATATATACTGTTTGTCTTATCAATCACATTTAGTTTACCGAGCTCTTTTCTACTTCTATAATTTAATACCATCAGCGATAATTTGTACATTTTATTAGAGTATTCTATCCTCAGGCTCCTCTTAGCTGTTTCCAGAGAGAGTTTCAGGACTGTGGAGTAACACCCCCACACATCTGCAGTATTGTCCTTTGAACATTTGAACTGAGTCTTCAGGACTCCTGATGCACCTTTTATTTCTGTCTGGCCACTTTCATTGTGACTTTCCTCTCCCCTCACCACCACCCTTCAGTCTCCTTGTTGGAGACGTTCATCCTCCTCTGTTTGCAACACTTGCCTCTTATTCTGTGAAGGATATTAAATCTACCTAGGGAAAATCTTATCAGTTTTCCCCTCACACTTATCTATATTTGCACTTGTCTTTCGGCAATTTACCTCAGTCTCAGTGGAAACGACATACCCTTTCCTATTCAAAAAATAATCCCTCCAATTTTCTTTCAATGCCAACTCCTTCAACACCTTGCTTGATGAATTATACTCT